CTCAAAAGGCCACTGGGCGATGAACTCTTTCGCATCCAAAAAGAAGCTTAGAAATTGCTTCATAGGATTTTTTTTTTTTGCGAAAAAAACCTTTTGGGGGTGCTTAAAAGAACTTGTTAGGGCAAAAGATTTAGACAAGCCGAAGAACCCCTAAGAGTTCTTTTACGACCAGACTTTTGTGGTCGTAAAAGTGTTAAACTATATGTTTCACAGTGTTCAACTATAGGTTCTAATCCCTTTAGGCTGAGTACGAAGGAAGCCTATATTTGTCATCCTTATCGTTTTGGCCGGTTTTTGAAAACGGGCTTCACGTGCTCTTCTTTCCATTCGCTAGGTGGTTTTCCTGGTATCACAACTATGAAATAATGCAAAAAATGAAGGCTGGAAGAAATACTAGAGTGCTCCTCTGGTACACGACTATGTTACTACACTCCAAAATTGTTTTGTTTTCATTCGAGCTATTGACCAGATTAAGTATACACTCGTGGCTTATTTAGGTATATAACCTGCTTCCCTATATAAGTGAAGAGATGGGGACGGGGGAAACTACTATTGGGGACGTAAATATAGATTCAAAAGCACTATTAAAGAGTCTCCCTTAATTAACATTATTGGCCACCAACCGACCCGCGTCGCTGATTGGCGGAATGCCTGTCCCGTCTTATTGTCTGAGCCTTTCACGTATTTCCTCTATTCCTCTGGGTTGTATTCTAATCTTTCCAGAACGTCGTTAAACATCGTTTTGAACCGTGACACCGTATTTTTTAGACGTTCCGTGAGCTCTTCTAGGTGTTCCAGAATATATTTGCGGTTTGAGACTAATCGAACTTCAATATTCGATTTTTTTTTTTTGGACACTGGTGTATTTTCACAAATATAATCGAATTTGTGCATTAATTATTCGAATTCGAGTTCAGTATATTTTTTCCAGACTTACGCACAGGCAACAGGTTCACGGGCAAAAAGCCAACATCTGTTGGTTTGACCAGGCCAAACCCGTTTTTTTTTAGATCTATCTAAGGCACTTAAGACAGTTTCTCAGCCTATACTTTTGCATAAGCGTAACGTCGTACTAGGCAATCCTTCTCTGGTTAACTGAATATCTGGTTTTCTTCCTCTTGTCTCACAGAATATGCGTTATAACTGTCCCATATCTCTTTATTGATGGTTTGTCGTCAGATGTTCCTCTCGTTTAAGTTCTCTGAGAGCTTCTATTTTTATTGTGCATAAAAATACGTAGACAACCGCGTACTCTATCACACGATCATCTTTTACGGAATTGTAATATTCTAATCACTTTTGTAGCACCCGACAAATGACACAATTTGAAGCGTTCTTGCGGCTCGTTCACACGGCTGCGTCGACGGCGTTGTGCTGTGTTGCGTCGGGCAGCACAGCGCCTCCCCATTGGCTCGCCGTAAGGGTCACCATAGCAACAGCTTGATGCAAGCAACAAACGAAACTGTGTGAATGAGCCTTAACACCTGATAAATAAACATACTTACCCAAATACCGTATTCATATAATTTCTAAGGCACTCATCTCCTTTCTTGTTCGCATATCCACTAAACAGTTGCAGTTCGGTCTTCTTTCTGGACGTGTCAATTTTTTGGTCTAGGCATATTTTGAGAAGAGACACAGCACTGAATAATATTGGATGACTGCAGCTAACATTGTCTGTAACTTCACAAGCTGCTATGCTTCTAAGATACAAATCTCGGGTCCGTCGAACCCTCAAATACGGTGCAGTCGTTTTGGAATTAAGACAATGAGATGTAAAGAAACTGAATCTTTTCAAAGAAAGCGTTACGGTTCATTTATTGCCGGTGTCGAAAAAGTTTTGAGCCCGACGTTTAACATTAAAGGAGCTGTGCAACGATTTTAACATTGAAAGAATTGGCATCTTCTACTTTTGACATTGTTCACCTTGTCACAAAGGACAGAAAAGACATCTCCGTCTTTCGAAATGTTGCCATTGCGCGGCGTAATCGCGGGGCAAATATTAAAATATTCCCTGACCTCCAGCCGCGTGCGGCGGCCATGAGAAACACGCGGCGTGACCAAGTGGGGGGGGGGGGGGGGGGGGGGGGGCTTTTAGAAAGATAGCAAGTTGTGCGAATGCCTGCTCGATAAAAGGTAACTTTTCTATAAATCTTGTCGTTCCAACATAAATATAAATGCGTCAAATACCTGGTATCATCGACAAAACAAAACTATAAAGCTTGTCGACGGGGCGCTGGCACACATGTCCGCTTCATAGCTGGCAATAAAAATAGCCTCGTGAATTTCTCTGCCAGTCTTATTTCTGTGCCGTGCTAAAATCTTGATAAAAAAGTGAAAGCCGTTTGCAACTCCCTCTAACGCCGAATTTGAGCGCAGCTCTTGAGGAGGAGTAGGGAAGGAGACTAAGAGGGGGGGTGGGGGGCGGGGTCATGTGACCTTGGGGAGGGGGGGTCGTGTGACCTTGGGGGGGGTCACGTGACCCCCCCCCCCCCCCCTCCCTGAGGTCACCGAAGTTACCCGAGGTCCTCCCGAAGCCCTCCCGAAGGAGCCCGAGGTCCTCCTGAGGTCCTCCCGAAGGAACCTGAGGTCCTCCCGAGGTCCTCCCGAGGTTCTCCCGAACGAACCCAAGGTCCTCCCGAGGTCCTCCCGAAGGAACCCGAAGTCCTCCTGAGGTCCGTGGGGGGGGGGGGGGGGGGGGGTTAACGGTTACGCCGACGCCGACGCCGCTCAAGCCGGAAACGGGCGCCTAAGAGTTGCGCTCTAAAACAAATCGCCGTTTCATCTCGCGAAATGAAATGACGTTTTTGATGAGTCGTCAGAGTGCGCGATCAGCACAGTCTGACTCACTGTTGCTAACAGACGTGTCGTTCGATTAATTTGTTTTTGGTATCATGTCAAAGCTGAACAGACATACGCTGCACAATGCACCATAGGTCCTAACATGTAACTTGTTACAATACTGTGTTATTGACTCCGCGTGGAAGTTGAAACTTAAGCCTGCAATTTATCGTCAAGGCCTCTTTTTCCGCTCCCATTATATACGTATAGTTGAAATGTCGAACGTTGATATACCACATCAAGCCAAACGTGATGGTGAAAGAATCATAAAGATATCTCCATTCCTTCAAGAGATATGCACCACCAAGATGCTCATAGTACGTCAGGCGCTGGCATGACATCACGCACGCCGCAATCAAGTGACACGCATCGCATGTCCAGTGCGGCCGCGGTGATGCGGTGACTCGCGTTTCGATCCGCACTTGTTTGCGATGGTTTGTGTGCCGTGCGGTTGAATAGGCTTGTTTTCTGGCTTGATATTTGTTTCTTTCGGTTTCTTATATATCGTTTAGTTGTATAAGTCTACCTCAAATTTAAATATCTGTTTCATTCGATTGTTTCTGTAATAAACAAATAGATGTTTTTCATTTGATATTTGTATTATTCCGTTACTTATAAATACATCTGTTACGTCCGATACATGCCTTACATTTCACTAACATTTCACTAGACACGGCACGTAGACGTTATCACACCTAAACTTGTGGCCGTGTGGCCACTGCCTACCCTTTTTTCTTTGATCTTATTTTTATTTTTTGTCTGCGTGCGTGATACTATTTGTTTCTTGTTCACTTTCTACCCGTGCAATCCCTCTAATATATCTGCAATATCTGGCAACCAAATGAATCCATTTTTTAGCTAAATATTGTCCCACTCAGAGCAGTTCACCCTTTTACAACACATAGAAGCGAAAAAAATGCGCAAAAGAACAAGTGTATAAAAAGGGTTTGCAGTCTTAGTTGAGGTTCAATTATTTCCTAGGAATAGCAATTTCATCTTTTCCTATGCTTGACATCCATTCCTTTGTTGACGTTTCGTAAGTATACTTAGGTACTAGACCCCCAACAAAGCGATCACTTTCATCTGAACGTTCAAACCATAACAATAGTCTTTGACGGCCAAGGTTACAAGAACAACTCAGTTGGGAAGCCGTCGTAGGAGCCTGCTTTGAAAAAGTGGCTCTGATCCGTACTCGAGAACCGAACGAGACGCGATTGCAACGCCGCCATTTTTCCCGCAGCGGCCACTCCGGGAATTGCACGGATGCACGTACCAGTTCTTCAGGCGGGTAACGCAAGGGCCAGTGTGACTATCTCGCAGCGCCGTCTTGCGGTAGCTATATAATACAACTTGCATGTTTTGGCTTGCCGCTAAAGGACGGAGCTGTAGTCGCATATAGTTAGGTCTTGGTGGAGGCGAGTGGTCCGGATTTCAAGGGTGAGCTTTCCCAACTGAGTGTCTTAGAAACGTTGGTGACAGCCTAAAAAACGCCGGGCGTGACAGTCCCGATCCTCTTGTTATCGCTCCACAGGCAAGAGTGCTGCGTTACTCGGTAAGAATGCCGGAGAGAGAATCGTCACATTATAAGCAACGCCCTGAGTTTTTTTCAGCTGTAGAGTGACTTTAGGGGTTATCAATAAAGCAAATACACTCCAAACCCGTGCTTTCACTTTACAACGGAACACTCGGATAGTCAGACACTTTGATCTATACGGATATATAACCCGGTGAATGACAAGGCTGAAAGAAGTCTAAACCTTGTAGTGAAGTAGGGATTGTGAAACTCGAAACATGGCGAGAGAATGAGTCATTATGACCTGTACCGCATCCCAGAGGAGAAATGATTTTTTTCAGTGTCTTTGCAGACCGTGCAACTCCCGCAGTTTGTTGTAAATAAATCGCCAAACGCCTTGCAAAAAAAAAAAAAAAAAAATATATATATATATATATATAGTGTTGTAGAAGTTGGTGAAAACTTTAAAAGCAGCCCGGCATATCTTTAAAAAACGTCGGCAGCCACTTTAAGAATTCCAGAAGGTGCTTTCTTAAGTTCACCGCGTGTAATTTGACAAAGATGGTAGAGAAAAGCTCTCGCATACAATTTAAAATTAGTTACTAAACACAATAATAGCTGAGGGCACCTACGTTTTCTTTATATAATGCGTGGGACCGTCATCAACAAGCTGAATGGTTCGAAGAAGTATTCTATGATGGTAAATACCAGTCAGTTCATGATTATCTATTTTTGCCTGGAATTCACGAAGATATTAATTATGTATATAATTTCATCTAGTGTGCACTATTGTTTGAAATGCTGCCAAAATCCTAATCAGTTCCATTTTTTTTCAGATTCTTCAGTCTGCTTTTTCTTCTCTTGTGTTCAACGCTACAACGAGCGCTTGGCGATGACTCAGACTTAGTCCCTGAACTCTGCGATCTCAGGGACCAGCCGATGTATTGCAAGTGCGAGAATAAACACATCGGCAAGGACGACGTCGAAATCACCTGCTTTGTTGTGAGAAATCTCACAGAAGATCACGTTGTCTTTAAAGCCTTCCAGAATCAGCCATCGATCGTTTCGATTGCCTTCAGCACGTTCCGTAGTGACTACCATCTCCACTTTGTTCCGAGAGAAGCACTGCGTTCCGCGGCGCCTGCCCTGGAGAGCCTCAAGTTCACTCAAGCCAACCTTGGCTCGCTTAAGACTCACTCCTTCTACAACCTGCCTAAACTAAAGACGCTATCTCTCGACTCAAACGACATTACCGACTTAGAAAAGGAGTCCATTGCCGACTTGCCTCACCTCACAAAACTGGAGATGGGCGACAACAAGCTCGTCAAGCTCCCTGCTCACGCCCTCTCGCGTCTGTCGGCACTGACGCACCTGTTCCTAGAGCGGAACCAGATAAAGAGCATCGAAGACACGGCCTTCGCTGACTTGGGTGCGCTAAAAGAACTGGACCTGAGCGACAACATGATCGTACATCTGACTGAGGGCACATTCAAGGGCCTCGACCATCTGGAACGGCTGGACATGTTCCGGAACAAGCTGCAGAGGTTGGACGCCCGGGTCTTCAGCGGGACGCCGGCGCTCGTGGAACTGGACCTCAAATACAACAAGGTTTCGGAGGTGGACCCGCTGGCCTTCGAGGGATTGCCGCGCCTCAAGAAGTTCTACTTCTCTCACAACCGGCTGCGGATCTTACCGGCGAACATGTTCTTAGGGGCGCCGAACCTGCTTACCGTGGACCTGTCGCAGAACCAGCTGCTCACGCTTACCTGGAGGACTGTCCAGGACTTGAGGAAGATTGACGCCGAGTCCTTCGACATGAGCCTCACCGGTCAGTGCTTTTTGAATGGTCTTTTGCGAGAACGGCGGTTCGGGCTTTGGTTCAGAAGGTAATTTTCATAGACCGCACACTGCGGATTCCGGGCTCCGCAAGCGCACGCTCAATCAGTAATCAAAGTGACGGAAAGTGCTCACACCAGTAAGGCAGTGTTGTTGCGTACGGTCTACGATAATTTCCTATTTTCTTTATGATGTTTTTAAATTTGTAAATCGAGGAAATGACTGCCGATGCATCGATACACTGCTTCGGATATCAGAATATAACAAAAAGTTCACCACTTTGGAAATTTATTAACTATTTCGGCTGTGAATCTGCGATAACTATACTGCACAAGTTTCCATGAAGAGGATCGATTTCCTACTTCTCATAGAGAATCCCTGATAATTAGCTAGAGAGGTTCAGATAGTTTCAAAATAGTCTTCAGGGTTTATAGGCAGCGTCCAGACAAGTTTCAAGGTTTATAGATAATTCGCAGATAACTTCCAGGCATCTAAAATATTAAAACATGCGTAAAGTTCTGACGGAATTCAATCCCAGTGAAAAAGGAGTGACCTTCAATAAAATTACATTATCTCAAACTGATTTAATATGTTAGAATAAGCACTCAGTAATTCAAAACTTTTTTTTTAAATAGAAGTTTGCGAGATAATTATTATTTATCGGGGTTCTTACTTGTTCCCATAAGAAAATGCCAGTTTATGCATGCATCTTGTTTACAAATTTAAACTCGCTTGCTCTTGAACTAGCTTTAAATGTTAATAGGATTCAAAGAGAAGGTGCTGCATTTAAGCAGCCAGTAAAACAGTGGTTTTAATAATTTCGAATTGGAGATGAAAAGTTCAACACAACAACCAACATGGAAAACCTTTTGTTTTTTTACATAGATCGTCTCTTAAATCAATGAGGTACGCGGGCGAGCTGTACCAGGGCTAGCCTGAAATACTCGATCAAAGAAACGTCAAACGCGTGAAGGTTATTGTTAGGTTATCCCTATGTAATTCCCTCACACGAGGGCCCTTAAAGAAAAAAAAATAGATAAAATGAGTTGAATTGTAGGTTGCCACAATCATTTGACAAGCCGCTACAAGTTACCCGAAAACTTATAGTCATTCTGTGGTTCCCAATCATAATAATTCTATATTAATTCTTCCTTCAGCATGTTGCAACTAGGAGTGAAATACCGTTTTGAAAACAACTAAAAATAGTTTGAAAATTAATAAAAATGCCGCTTGTATATCTCTTAATTTTGAGTAACGTTTTTTTTTATTATTGTTTTCCCGATATAAGGTTTCTGATATCCGTGCACGTCTTTCCCTCCCAAACGTTTTACAGGTTGTAGTACTACAAAAGGCGCAATGGGTTTAATTAGTAAACTCAAGCCCGTCTACCATACTGTCAAAACCTTCCACCGCAAAAAAATCAATTTTAAACAAAACAAAAAAATCGGAATCACGTTTTAAGTAAAAACGTTTATAAACCAAAATCGCTCACAAGATTTTTTGAACTCTAGAAATTAAGACATCTTTCGACATAAAGATTTAAAAGAATGTCGGTACCTTGGAAAATACGTATACTTCGTTTCATAATTAGTATAGAACACTGTCACAGCTACTAGCGCGCGGGCGTGGCCTTATCTATGGTTTCGTTTGCGCGAGAACGCGTGCAAATGATCTGCGAGATCATTTGCTTGCTCGCGTACCCCATGCTCGCTCCAGCAGTTTTTAGAGCGTTGTACACTAAGTATGAAGCAGAATATAGACTCTAGTAAACTTTGTTCAAAGAAATATGTCAAAATATACGAAATATAAGATATGCAACTTAAAACGGGTTTTAAATTCCCTTAAAACTTTTCCAGTAAGTGTAATTTTCTTGTTTCCACATAGTTGCCAGATATTTTCAAAAAAAGTTTCAAATGTTTTGCCCAATAGTGTTCAGAGAGTTTTCTTTTTCGTTTTCAGAATCTCTACCAAACGGATTTGTTTTATGAAAAAAATCTTGATAGTTTCGAAATAAATTTTAAGATAATTTAAACATAGTTTGATAGATATTTCAAGACCGTTTGAAGGTAGTTAATAGGTACTTTAAGACCGTCTGAAGGTATATAGTTATCCAGCTAGTTTTAAGATAGTTCTGAGATACTACTTTGCCATAAACGTTTCACACAGTTTGTAAGATTTTTTAGACTGTGGGCCGCACACCTACAAGAGAGTTTACCAGTGAGTTTTAAGACAGTTGCAGATAGTTTGCCGAATATAGTTTCCAAAGAGCTTGCCAAATGCTTGCCACAGTTTGTCAGATAGTTTGAAGACTCTTTCGAGATAGATCGCAAGTAGTTTTCAGATAGTTCGCCAGATGGTTTCAAAACTGCTTCAAGAGATTCATTAGGTGAACAGACAGTTCGCCTGCGGTAGCTCCCGGGAATTAAGTCCTAGGATAGGCTGAGTCAGTCGTGTCGGCGTCGAGGCTTTATTCCTGATAATTCCTGCTTGCCATTTCATTAGGGAGATGAACAGACCGCATTTACGTAATATGAAAGGGGCGTCGCGGTCAGAGAAGTGGACCGGTTTTGTGTAACAGATCTTGAAACATTATCCCCGGCCGATTGCGGCACTCTACATCTAAACCATTACATGCACAAATCGGTACACAGAAATGGCTGGTAGCGAGTTTCAGATTCCGGATGAACTCATCCTTTTAGTAAAATTGAAGTCCATGGTTCAAGAAGGGTTCTGTAAGCTGGTGTAGAGGGTTAATGGCGCAAATAAAAAGCATCTAGCGTAACAGGAAGTGGTAATAGGAGTGGAAAGGACAAGCAAAAGGCAGGCGACAGCGTTCAATCTAGCCTAACTCATGGGATGTCCAGTTGGCGTTATCGAACCCAGTTAGAGAAATGGATTCACATTTGATTTTATACCTGGATAGTGTATTCAGACAGTAACGATATGGTAATTTATGAATAATATATACGGTGAAGTGTCTTAGTTTTCTTCTTGGCTGTCAGGGACAGAACAAAATAAGAGAGAGAGAGATAACAGTGTGAGAGCAGTTATGTGAATATTTAATAAAAAGGAATAATTTGTATGCTTCTCTTGCCTGTTTTCCTGCATACCTGTTGTAATTTAGCGGTTTAAGATTACTCTCAGCTACTTTTAGAAATTTATGAAATATTGATTTTAAACCAGGATATCGAAACTCGTAGACTGAATCGATACCGTAAGTATTCTAAGAGATGCATGATCCACAGAAGATACCAAATAGAACATTCCTTGTCCAAAGACAAACTTCCAAGGTAGAAGTTTTTACAGATTAATACTCACCTGTCGCAAAACGTCACATGTGCGACTATACCGCAATTTTGCTGTTTAATTTATATAAATTATATTGCGGCTAGCATCACTAAGCCATAGCAGGGGTGGTTACGCATGATCATTCAAAGCAAATTTAACACAAGAGCACGAATAACATCTACAAGAACACCAAGTGACGATAGGGTAAACATTTCATTTGGTAAAGAATCCCATCCGCCATGGAGGCGGGATACTCACGTATTCTCGGTTTTCAGTTTCTGCTGCCTTTAACCGTTCCATTCGGTGCTCAGTTTAGAACGTTTCGGGCCGAGGAAACATGGATCAGGGATAAGTTCCCGGCGATTCCGTTCTGTCTGCCTGATCATTCTTCACTGTATTTAACGTTGCTTCATCCGGACACGACTTTCGTCGATCATAACGTCTGGCAACAACGGTGGACGTCATATTGTCACGAATGACAACTGATGAGGCGACGAAAACTGTAACCAACAAAACGTTTAATGGGGCGAACTTGTGCCCAAAATAAAAAGGAAAAGGAAACAGAAGATAACTATAGCGCGTCGCGGGCGTCCATGACGGCGTAACAACAGGATCGAACGCTGGGGCGAGACTGACTGCGGCTTGCCACGGGGAGCCCCTGGTATCTGGAACACTCAGCCTAGAACGTTCGGCGCGTAGAACATTCGAAACTCGATCAGACAAGAAAGTTCTCGAATTTGCGAGAACGACAAGCAGAGAGAATAAATAAAAGAACGATCCGCTACCTGGAACCGAACCCAGATCTTCCGCGCGACAGCCAAACAGGGTAACCATTCGGCCATGTACGCACCCGCTCAGCACGCGCGTGGCAATATGATCATGAACTATTTAAGAACCTGCTCTGCCAATACCCGATGGGTTTCGGTGCCGTTATGGAGGCGGGTTACTCACGTACTCTCGTTCTTCAGCTCAGTGCACCTTACGTTTATGATACTAATGTGCGTTACGCAGAGCCTTGTGAAGCGGCACCGAGACCCAACTTGTTGCACTTACAGAGCTTGTTTTTCAGCGTGCCGCTAAAGTGCCTTCTTTGAGATCTCGGGTTCTCTTATCCGAGGTGAAAAAATGATTAATTATATCTGGTGATGTGAAAGTAACCCTGGTCCTCTCTCTGCGGAGCAGCAAAGGGCGTTTTTAGAAGCACTCTGTGTTATACCAAAGCTATAGGAGGGACAAGTAAGGTCCTTTCAGATTTGAGGTAGATTAAGCGAAATCAGCAGATAGGAGACGAGAAGCTTGCTGCTCTCACAGCCCGGATCGATTGGATGGCAAAAGGAGGGGAGTGTGAAGGAATTGGGAACCGAAATAAGTTGCTTATAAAAACGAAATGAAACCATAGCTGCGCAACTTAGTGCGGCATGACCTTAAAAAAAGGTATAAAAAATATTTTTTTTTAATGCGCTGCCAGATTTTGCCAGCGACACGTGGGAAGATCCGAACGAAATGATATATCGGTATGCGATAGTAACCTTGGCGTTCAAGTTGAACCGTTATAGAATTAATCGCGCCCATAGAATCGGTAGTTTCCCTTCAACAAAACGCGGGTTGATCGTCATACAGCTTCGTTCATTCAAAGAAAAACAAAACAAATTAGACCAAGCGCACAAACTAAAGTTCAGTAGAGTAGATTGTTGGGCTATTTGGTTTTGGAACTTGGAATACATGTTACCGCTCAAAACACAAGGAGAACGACGAGAACCAATATGTGCGTATTAAACGCCCTAATAAAATCCTGCTACGATGTGATGTCAGAAGGTCAGGGCACGCAGTATAGGCGGTTTTTGGCAGCTGGCTTCCCGAATAATGTAGTGGTGTCAGTTGCGGAGGTCGCATTAAAAAGATTACGTAGTGAAGCTTGCCCTAGCCCAACGGTTCTCAGAGATAAACAAAAGGTCGCGGTGATACCGTATACATCGGGACACTGTTTGCGCGAACACGACAACGGCGCCTTTTGGAATTTTATTAGGAAGGAGTGTTAGAGGGCACGCAATTTTACCCCTTATTTAGGGCTGTAAATGAGCTCTTTCTATAACAATAATTTTTTTTATGACAACATTTTGGTTCCAGTGTCGCGCTCTGTACATTCACAAAACGGCGCATGGCCTGAAAAGGGTGGCCAATAGATCGAACGTAAAAGTGATGTTTTCCGCACCAAACACACTTAGTAGATTATGTAGGGTGACAGAACCTTTTCGTAAGGTTCCTTCTGGCTGTGCGCGGAAAGCTGTGGAATCCATTTGTTGAATGTGCGGAGGAAGTAGTGTATCAGATGCGGAAACAAGTATATAGGTCAGACCGGTGGGTGTGTTAATGATAGGCTAAGGGAACACAAACTTAAACTAGGTAAATTATCAGGACGGTCGTCTGTCCGATCATTATCAAAGGTGTGCCGTTTTTTTTCCAGTGAAAGGTTTTGGCGGGGCACAAGGAAAAAGCTGTGAGGGAGATAGTCGAGGCAGATGAGATTAAGAAGGGTGGGGCAGCATGTGTCAGCGTGACCTCAATTGATCTACTTGACAAGGAACGTGCCTTCCTCACTGACGCGGCATGGCATCGGGTTGGCTAGTGATGGGGCGATATCAGACACGGATGGTATATAAGTTACGTTTCATGTAATAAAATCAGTTGTTTGTAGCGCACTGTGGTGTCTAATTCTCGTCTTTGTCCTTGTGTTTTGAGCGCTAACATGTTTTCCGAGTCACAAACTAAAGAGCAGTTATTTGTCAATCAGCGAGGGCTTTTTGCTACGTGCAAGGTCTGAGAGAAAGAAACTGCTTCAGTATGCTAAGGAGCATAACGACAGGTTCAAACGCCGCTTTAACACGCTTGCTATAGGTGGAGAAACGTTCATG